GAACAGAATTCTGACATGCTACAACATGGATTAACTTTGAAGACATTATGCTAAGTGAAATAAGCCAGAGAGAAAAGGATACACATTACATAATTCCACTTACATGAGGTACCTAGAAAAGAAAAACCCATAGAGGCAGATAATGGAAGGGTGGGCCCAGGAGCTGGGAGGGGGAGCATGGGTGTCATCATTGAAGGAGTACCAAGCTAGGCAAGATGAAAACTTCTGGAAGTGATGTTTGCACAACAATGTGAATATGCTTAACGCCACTGAACTGTACATTTAAAATGATTAAAATAATAAAATTTTTATGTATATTAATATTTTACTATAATAAGAATGCAATTTTTTAAAGATCCAAAGTCCTATGACAAGTTATGAAAATGTCCAAGTTTCAGTGGAAAGTCACTCATACCAAAATTAAGGAAGATCTCAAACAGAATGCAAAAAGACAATCAATAGATGACAATATCAAGGTGGCAGAGATGTTAGAATTATCTGATAGAAATTATAAAGCAGCCATGATAAAAGTACTTCAAAAGGTAATTAAGAATAACAAGCTTGAAACAAAGGAACATTACTGCTTAATGATTTTTAAAAGTTCCATTCACAAGCAATATTTATTTGTTTTAAATTTGTGTGCAATGTATAGCCTCCAGATATGTCAGGCCAATGACAGAATTACAAGAGAAATAGACTAATTCACAATCACAGTGGAACATATTTCCCACAAGCCTCTCAGGAATTGACATAAAAAATATAAAATAAAGATTTGAACAGCAGAATTAACAAATCTACACAACAATATACAACTGAAGAGCACTCACCATCTTAAAGAATACAAAAAACATTTTCAAAAAGTGTCCACATGTTGGGCCATAAAGCAAGTTTCAACAAATTGGAAAGATTGAAGTCACACAGAGTATATTCTCTGACCACAATGCAATCAAGCATTTGCTAAGAAAACAATAACAAAAGGATAAGTAGAAAATCCTCAGATGTTTAGAAATAAAGAAGCATACTTCTAGCCCATGGCTAAAGAAATTACAACAAAAACTAGGGAATATTTCAAACATAATGATAATGAAAATACTATCAAAACTGTATCGAAGTAATTAAAGCAGTTTTTAGAGGGAAATATATAACCTTAAATGCACTTAGGTAGAATGAGATAAAAATTAATCTCAATAAATTAGAAAAAGAATAGCAAAATAAACTCAAGGAATGTACAAATAAGAACATAACAAGAGCCGGGCTTGGTGGCTCAGCCTGTAATCCCCGCGCCTTTGGGAGGTTGAGGTGAGTGAATTGCCTGAGCCCGCGGGTTTGAGACCCGTCTGGGCAGCGAGACCTCATCTCTACAATAAATCAAAAAATCAGCCAGGCGTGGTAGTGCATGCCTGTAATTCCAGCTACTTGGAAGGCTGAGGCGGAAGGATTGCCAGAGCCCAGCAGGTAAAGGCTGCGGTGGCCAGGAGCGGCCACCACACTCCAGTCTGGGCAACAGAGTGAGACTCCAACTCAAAAAAAAAAAAGAACATAACAGGAACTTTTCTGTTTAAAAAAGAGTGGAGATTAAAGTAAGAGTTGGTTTGATTTTGCTTTGCTCTGCTTTGCTTTGCTACAAGGGGTTGGTCTAGGAAGTCTTCCTAGCAAAAATATATCTGAGTATTTTCTATGCACTCACCAGTCCTAAGGCTTATTTTCTCTTTCGTTTTTTAAAAAAATTGTGATAAAATATACATGTCATAAAATTTACCATTTTAACTATTTTCAAGTGCACAAGTCAGTAGCACTAGGTACCATCAATGATGATATACAACCATCACCCTTATTCACCTCCAGAACTTGTTCACCATTGCAAACAGAAACACTGCGCCCACTAACTAATTTTACCCATCCCTCCTTCTTCCTGTATGCTGCTAACATCTGTCCTACTTTCTGTCTCTCTCTATAAATTTGTCTTTTCTAGGTACCTCATATAATTGGATCATAAAATATTTGTCCTTTTGTGTCTTAGCATAATTTTTTCAAGGTTTATCTGTGTTATAGCATGTATCATAACTTCATTCCTCTTCATGGCAACATAATATTCCATTATATAGATATACCATATTTTATTTATTTGTTGACGGATCCATGGCTTTTAATAGCATATTAGTCCTTTTCAGCTATTTCTTCTATCTTATGAAAATATCATTATTTATTAAAACCTCATATAAATATTTGTTATTTTTCAATACCCCAAGCAACAAATCACAAGCTTCTGTGGTGATTACAAACTCATCATTTGATTTATAGAGAACAATTAAATAATGTATTTTACAATGTATTTTTCCTTCAATAAATGTCAGTGTGGTTTTTTATTTTTATTTTTTGAGTCAAAGTCTCACTCTGTTGCCCAGGCTGGAGTTTAGTGGCACGCTCATGGCCACCACAGCCTCAAACCGCTGGGCTCAGGCAATCCTTCTTTCTCAGTCTTCCAAGTAGCTGGAATTACAAGTGCGCACCACCACATCCCTCTAATTTTTTGACTTATTGTAGAGAAGAGGTCTTACTGAGTTGCCCAGGCTGGTCTCAAACTGGCTGGACTCAGGTAACCTTCTTGCCTCGGCCTCCCAAAGTGCTGGGATTACAGGCATGAGCCACCGCACCCAGCTATATGTTCATAATCTCTTTTTATTAAACTAAGATTCTATGTTTTAAGATTTACTTCTGCTATACATTTTTCTCAGGTGAGCCAACATGAAGCAGAACACTAGCATCTGTGAACAGGAAAATGTCATTTAAGTTAATATGGAACAATCTTTCCTTACAAGAGAAACTTCATCTCTTGGAAGTGAAATGCCCTGGAGAAACCAGGTCTAGTTTTTATTTCATTGGGCTGATGTTTTGCTAGATACGAAATGGTCCTTGAATAAATTAGACATTTTATCCTTTTTTTTTTTTTTCTGAAAGCAGGATTTTTTGAGAGGACAGAAAACCTCCCACAGTGGGAGGGGGCCCAAAGGGGTTGCTTTATCCTTTTTTTTAATCTGCTTTCTCAGGTTGAAAAAATTGACATTTAGATCTTTTTGTCCAGGAATCATGGCTCATGCCTATAATCCCAGAGTTCTGGGAGGCCAAGGCAAGAGGATCACTTGATGCCAGGAGTTTGACGCCAGTCTGGACAGCATAGTGAGACACTGTCTCCACAAAAAATTAAAAAATTAGCCAGCATGGTGACCCGCGCTTACAGTCCCAGCTACTGGGAGGCTGAGGTGGGAGGATTACTTGAGCCCAGGAGTCAGAGCTGCAGTGAGCTATGATCACACCACAGCACTCTGGTCTGAGTGACAGCAAGATCTTGTCTCTGGAAAAAGAAAAAAAGTTCTCATCCATTCTGGTATTTAGTTTCTTGGGAACTTCAGTTCATGTTCAAATTCAAATTATATATTATTCATCCCTAGTTCTCCTTCCCCTTCAAAAAAAAAATTAAGACTGGATAAGGGGAAGGAAATTCAATTCAATCTGGCCAATTTAGTTGCCTATTAGTACTGCTATTATATTATGAAGTATGGCAAATTACTGGCCAAAGAAACAAACAAACAAAAAATGTCTGGGATAAAATAAAGAAAGAAAGAAAAGTACAGCTACAAAGTTCCCTGAGAGCCTCTTAACTTGTTTCATTCTGCGAGCTTTCTCTTTTTATATTTTGTGCATTTTGTGCTATATGAAGACACTATTTTTAGCATCTATTTTTCTTAGTATCCCTGTTTATATTTTGGTATCTTGTACATCATATTACATCGGATTCCTAACAGGGCAAAAACACGGCGAGTCTACATTCTCACCAAATGAATATAACGTGAAACAAATTACTAACAGCATAAATCTTCCAAAAGTACTTTTCCTACAGCTATAAATAGCTCAGAGAAATTAAAATCCTTGGGAACCTAAAATTGGTCAAGGAAACAGATGTTTGAATTTTCTTAAGTACAGCACAGGGAATAGAGTTTGGCACTAACGATAATTTAAACTAACATACATGTCAAAAAGATTGTCTGATTATGTCCTCAGAATATCTGAAGACAAAATATTAAAACTCCTCCTTCTTGGTATAAATTTTTAAGGTTTTATGGGTTTAAAAAAAAATACTTTATCCTTTTTTTCAGATACATTGCTAGGGAAGGGGATAAATTATTTACCTAAAATTATGGGAATTATATTTTGGCATATTTTGCTTTCTGTTATAGACATTTGTGTATATCTTATATCCTCAAATGAATTATAAATAACTTACAAGAAACAGCTTACTTCATAATTATATTATCCATTATGCCTAATGTAGCACTTTGCACCTAGTAGGTTCTCAATAAATATTGGTAGAATGTGGAATTATTAAATAATCATGTAAAAATTACTTAAAATTAACAGTAAAAAAGAAGACTATTTTATTCTTAATCATATTGTAATGAAGACTATTTTAAACTCTATGCAGTGATGATACACACAAATATTTAAACTATTTATGTGCCTCAACTTGACATAATTTCATGATAACTTGATGGCAATCACATTTAAATATATTAGAATATTTTTGTAATAATGCTATTCTAGAATAGCAACTTTAATAGCTGGGAAAACATGTTATTAATGGCCATTAACCTGAAGGAAACAGGGAACATTAAACATTTTTTTCAGAAATAAATGTATAAGTTTAAACATTTCACTATAATATTTATGAGCAAACCTCAAATTAAAATTTATAAAATGCAAACTATCAAATGTTTCGGTTAGAAAATAATTTAGACTATATTTTGCCATTTTTCTAGTGTACTCTTGGATGAATACTATGTTTTAAAAAGATTCTTTTCACCTTTAGTGTCTTTGACTATTACTTTCTAACTATCAGAATAAATTCAGTTTGAATGCAAGACATAGGCAATCCTAGTGAATCACCTGATTATCAAGCAATATGATCTTAGTCAGTGAACATATTGTAATTTTTTTTTTTTTACCTTTAGGACAGCTATGAATGGTACAAAGTTAGCTCTTTGGAGTCCATTTTTATAGAGATCTGAAAGAAAAAAAATGGTATTAGTTTTTTGTTTAGCCTAAATCATAATGTCAGCTTAATCTTTTAGCCTGGCAAATAAAGCTTTCTATTGATAAAGAAGTAAAAAAGAAAAGACCAAAATTAGTTTCTATTTAGATACTATACAAAATTCATTATAATTTTAATTAGAAAATTAATAGTCACAGAAGATCAAAAGGCATTCAATCACATTAACTTTAAGAGACAATAAAGAATCTGGAAGGTATCATCCAAATCATAAATCAATAACCCAACATAAGAAGATCATATACTTAAAAGCAGTTAATTCTTGAATATGTAGGAATCTACTAGGAAAGGAATCATATTCTCCCTTTTCCAGTCTATAATAAAAATTCTCAGTAAGGAATTAAAAGTTGTATAATAAGATTAGTTTTTTAAGAAAAAACATCAATAGAAATGCTCGTGTATTTATATCAAGGCTATATATTTGACATCAAGGTAAAGAAATGTCACTTTAAATGAAATTGCCTAAAACTTAAAATTCTATTCTTAGTAAACTGTAAATGTAATGCAATTATATCATAAACAGATAGTGCTTATTGCCTTAGAAAGATGTTTTCAATAGATATATCTGTCACAGTGTATGCATGTTCACACACATACACATACATGTAAGCATGCCTACTGTCAAGGATAAGGAAGGGGGAAGGGACAGCAAATTTGGGGCTTTGTATATTTTTCTTTAAAAATGGAGACCTCATGGAAAATTTTTTTAAGCAGTTGAAATGTTATTACATATAAAACATTCCTTTTAAAAGTCATTCAACAAAGTTATGAGATTTTTTTTCTTAATTATAAAAACAGGAGTAGCAAAAAGTTTTTCAATAATAAAAAACACAAGTTAGATTATGTGTCTACATTTTTTGTTAAGTATGGTATTTTATGGGATCTTTTCTCTATTTTCTTGTTTAGAAAAAATTTGATAATATGATAGACTTCAAATGCCACATTCATTTATGGAAATAAAATATGGTCATTAGGAAACACTTATTCTTTAGAAACTATTCATCACAACATCATTATAGTAAGGAAAGTATTTGCATGAGCTCTGTGGTTAATTAAGGACTAGAAGTTTCAATTCAGTTACATTTAAAATTTTACTTGGAGTTATCATAAAAGGTAAGATAATTCTGGTGAGGCTAATCAGATTTCAAAATTCAAGACAAGATCTTTTATTTCCTATAATCCATACCTCTAATGAGTAGAATGGTTAAAGTGCAAGAAATGGGTTTAAAGTTAAGTATTTTCATAGTCTTCCCTAATTACCAAATTGTTGGGGAAGGTATATAAAAACACTGTTGTATGATAAAAGTTAAAAGCCATGACTGCTAGGAAGTGGTGAAAATTGAAAAATAAGATAATTTTAAAAACACACTTGATGTTTATAGAAGCTTTATTTATAATAGCTAAAAACCTCAGCTTTATTTAAAATAGCCAAAACAAGCTGGGCTCGGTGGCTCAGCCTGTAATCCCGCGCCTTTGGGAGGCTGAGGTGAGTGGATTGCCTGAGCCCGCGGGTTTGAGACCCACCTGGGCAGCGAGACCTCATCTCTACAATAAATCAAAAAATCAGCCGGGCGTGGTAGCGCATGCCTGTAATTCCGGCTACTCGGAAGGCTGAGGTGGAAGGATTGCCGGAGCCCAGCAGGCGAGGCTGCGGTGGCCAGGAGCGGCCACTGCACTCCAGTCTGGGCGACAGAGTGACACTCCAACTCAAAATAAATAAATAAAATAAAATAGCCAAAACAGAAAGCAATTCAAATATTCATCATTAGATGAACGGATAAAACAAATTGTGTCATATCTGTACAGTGAAATACTACTCAGCAATAAAAAGAATAAACTGTTCATACACACAACAAAATAAATGACTCTAAAAGCAATTATGCAGAGTAAAAAAGGTTAAAAAAAGCCAGACTAAAAAAAAATGAGGACATACTGTGTGATTCCTTTCACATGAAACTCTAAAATGAAAACCAATCTATAGTAACAGAAAGCTAATCAGTCCACATCATTAGTGAATATTAAAGAGCACAATGCTATAGCATTAAAACTAAGATATCACACTAATGAAAGTTTATCCATTTTAAGGTAATCTTTTGGTCTTACTTGTAGAACAATATCTTTTTTACAGACATATAAGGCTCTGAGATGCAGTGTAAAAAGCGTACACCTTTTAGTATGTTAATGACAATGAGAGATGTAAATGCCCACTTGTAATATTCTTGATTAAAAGATTCCCACTCATCAGCAAAGTTGAAGTAGAATAACAATACCTTTAAGTCCTGGAGTCTTAATTTTTTAAAGGGTTAACTTTTAAAAATCAGCCTTTACAAGGATATGTAATTCAAAACTTTATGCTTTGAGAAGTATTTTTTGAACAGAATTCTAAACAGAAATCATTTGGCTTGAAAACCTTTTGGTTTTTATAGGACACTTAAGTGAAAAAGGACTGTACTCATTAAGTTGAAGGGCTTTTTGCAATTCAAATATGCAAATTATCAATGCAATAGATCCATCTCCTGAAACGTTATTTAGCTGCCAAAATTTTTAATATGAGTTGTTTAATATTACCTTTCTTAGATATAAAGATTTTATAATACATTTATTCAATATTTGTCATTATTTACTAAACACTGTTTAAAAATTCAGTAGTTCTTACCTATGATTTCTTAATGATCTCTAAACAGAACTAAATGAGCACTCGGTCATCTAAGATAGAACACTGGAATTATGGCATATCATTTTGTAGAAAATGGTACAAGTACCTCTAAATTCTCCTCAGTGAATAACTATAATAATACTTAGTAATGAAATGCATGCAAAGAGGATTTTTAAAGTAATTACAAATACCTACATAAATACTCTGGAGGTGCACATGGATATACAGATCTTTTCCTTAAAAATCCAAGTGTCAAAACCAAGGTAAACAATGCTTATGTATATATGTCCATGTTGATTTAGAGTAAGAAAAACTATTTTGTATTTTTTAGTCAGGGTCTCATTCTGTCACCCAGGCTAGTGTGGTGCAATGGCACAATTATAGCTCACTGCAGCCTTGACCTCCTAAGCTAAGGTGAACCTTCCACTCTAGCCTCCTGAGTAGCTGGGACTACAGGCATACACCACCATGCCTGGCTAATTTTTTTTAGAGACAAGGTCTTGCTATGTTGCCTTGGCTGGTCTTAAACTTCTGGGCTCAAACAATCCTCCTGTTTCAGTTTCCCAAAGTATTGGGATTACAGGCGTGAGCCAGTGCACCCTAGAGTAAGAAAAACTTTTAAGATAGGTTATTAAAAGGAGTTTTCCTGGCAACCAATTCCTGATCAGAACCCTAAGTACCCATACCATAAGAAATAAGATAGACAAGTAGGACCTCATCAAACTGATGAGCTTCTGCAAAGCAAAAGAAACCATCAAGAGAGCAGGGAGACAGTCCATAGAATGGGAGAAAATATTTGCCAACTATATATCTGACAAAGGCCTAACATCTAGGCTCTACAAGGAACTCAAATATGGTGAAAGGAAAAAAACAAACAGCCCCATTACAAAGTGGGCAAAAGACATGAATAGACACTTCTCAAAAGAAGATATACTGGCAGCCAACAGACACATGAAAAAGTGCTCAGCCTCACTCATCATCAGAGAAATGCAAATAAAAACCACATTGAGATACCACCTAACCCCTGTAAGAATGGCCATCATTAATATAACAAACAACAACAGATGCTGGCAAGAATGCAGACAAAAAAGAACACTTCTACACTACTGGTGGGACTGCAAACTAGTGCAACCTCTTTGGAAGACAGCGATTTCTGAAAGATCTAGAAATCGACCTTCCATATGACCCAGCAATTCCCCTATTGGGAATATACCTGAATGAACTCAAATCTTTCTACAAAAAAGATACCTGCACACGTATGTTTGTTGCAGCTCTATTCACAATAGCAAAAACATGGAACCAGCCATGCTGCCCATCAAAGCTGGACTGGATTTTAAAAATGTGGTACATATACACAATGGAATATTATGCAGCCATAAAGAAGGACAAACATGGACTTCGCAGCAACTTGGATGGATTTATAGTCGATCATACTAAGTGATCTATCACAGAAACAAAGAACAGAGTACCAAATGTTCTCACTCATAAGTGGACCTTGAACAATTATCATAATACTATAAGAAAGGGATTGGCAGTAGTGGGAAACTGCCAGGGGAGGGGGGTGAGATTGGCAATTGAGGGAAACTGCTTGGGGAGGGAGAGGCACACCTCATCAACAAGGGTACCTGCACAATCAACATTTGTATACCTAACCCTGAATTGAACCCCACATCTTAAAAAAAAATCCAATAACTAAAAAAAGGAATTTTCCTATATTAATACAAAATAATTATATGGCTTTATGGAACCAATCCGATTTATCTTTCTAGGAGATTCTTATTGTATTATAGACAAAAAGAAAAGAGTACCTTTAGACTATTTTAGCAACAACAGCTACTGAACTTCTTTTGAACAAACTAAAATTCAAACAATATTTTACTATGTCTGTAGATAATTCAGTTAATTAAGTGTTCCCATGTGATAGTATAGTATAGTTTGATATTCAATTAAACATACATTCATGAATTCCTATAGTCTTCACTGAAATGAATACCAAAGGCAAAAAAAATGAAAAGGAACAGCTAAGACTCATAGACTAGTAGAAGTCAGGCAGTATACTAGGCACCAGACACAAAGCACAATACCCATACAAAGTAGGTATTTGCATGCCGTTTTACAGGTAAAGAAACTGGTGTTTATAGTTTTAAAAGTAATTTGCTGAATTTCCAGCCAATAATTAGGTTAGACTCTAGGATTAAAGCCAAGGATGTTAACGATCCAAGAACTTATCGACTTTTTCAGAACCGTGCTGTAACCTGTGGGCTTAGACAGCTGACAGGCACAACCAGACCTTAGCCAT